GCTTTTACTCATTCTCCCGGCGTAACACTTTCCGCCGTCAGCACCGCGTCTCGTTTCCAATACGCACCACGCATGATCAGTTCCCTCAGTGATTGACAACAGCTTCTGACCAATACGCAAAGGCGGAAATGGTAGTGTACCATCCGGCGAAGCTGGTCTTCCAACCAATCGGAGTGAATTATGGGCGGGGCTGACACCTGACAACAATGCGGACCGGTTAGGGAAAGGGTTCGCGCTGTCCTTATTCAAAATGAAAAATAAACTTTAAAGGAGCACTATCTTTAAAGAAGCAGCCTCTCTCAAAAATTGTCTCTGTCATGTGTGAGATGAGGGCGGAGGGATGGGGTAGAGAAGGGAGTCCAGCTTATCAGTGCAAAAGATTTCCAAGAATCGTTAGCCAGAGTGCGAGAGGATGATCCAGCTGCAGAATCCATGGGTCGAGATGCTTTTTTCTGTGTTGTAGATCTCGTTGACTATAATCAGCATCCTCTTGAGACCGCTCCCTGTCAACCCTCCTCTGGCATAGAAACAGGAGCAGGCCATTTAGCTCCTCAAACAAAAACCGAAACAACTGCGGATGCTGTAAATCAGGGACAAAAACAGAAGTTGCTGGAAAACCTCAGCAGATCTGGCAGCATCTGTGAAGAAAAAATCAGAGTTAACGTTTTGGGTCCGGTGACCCTGTGGAAGGTGGTTCTGAGGAAGGGTCACCAGACCCGAAACATTAATTCTGATTTTTTTTCCACAAATGCTGCCAGACATGCTGAGCTTTTCCAGCAATTTCTGCATTTAACTCTTCCAGCCCACTATGCCATTCAACATGATGCGGAATGATTGTCCTCCGCAGGGCCCTGTTCCTACCAAGCTGTTCCAGTGTAGCTAAAACAAATTATATTGACACAACAAATTAAAAAGAAAATGCCCAGCTGTGCCCACAAAAAGCAGGACAAGCCATTCACAACAATTATCATTCTATCAATTCACTCTCCATCATCAGTATTGTGATGGAAGCAGCAACAGTGCTATCACGCACTACACACTTAGCAAATAACCAGCTCACTGATCCTGTGTGTTCCATCAGGGCCACTTAGCTCTTAACCTCATTTCAGCATTAGTCTAATGTGAACAAAACACTGAAAATCAGAGGTGCGGTGAGACTGACTGCTCTTAACATCAAGGAGATCTTGCAAAAAAATGCTGTCAGTGGGAATCAAGGCAAAACACTCCACTGGAGTTTGCACTATCCGGTGGTCAGGAGTTCAGCATTATAAAACATGAGACCCAGTTTGTGAATGATATGCTTCAGTCTCAGTTCTCCTGCAAACGGATGGACATGGTAGTTAGGGAAGAAAATTAAGCAGTGAATTTCAGAATTTTTAACTGGAACAACTTTCCACATATCCAGGAATGTTGAAGACAGAGTCTGATAAGTTAGCAACAATGGAGGAATGGAGAGGTGGGGATGGGGGTTGAGTTGGGTGATGTCAGTGGATGTGCAAAAACTAACAAAGTGGCTTTTAATGACGTTATCAAGATGAGAATTGGAGGAGCCAGGGATATATCCTTGGAGGGAACAACAAGTTCCAGATCTTTGGAGAGGAAAGGGAATTTGGAGGCGAGGTCAAGGTTGGTTTTCAAAAGAAGGATTTAGAAGTAACAGGGACCGTAACAGACAAAAGCAAGAACTGTTAACAATATCAGCAAACAGGCATCTCCCCACCCCGCCCCAAGGCCTCCTACCTGTTCCACTACACCCAGTGGCAGACCCTGTCCTCCCGAATGACTGAAGCACCGTCTGCCCGCTGCTACCCAGGGAGCTGGCCAAACACACTGACTTTGAGGACACCAAATTGGTCACTAGGTACACCAGCTCCAAGTGGGCTGACTCTTCTAAGAGCGACTCACAAATAAAAAAAGTGAAGATTGGATGCTCAGTGATTAAGTGGAAAGAGAGTTGAGTAACTATGTCATGGATCTCATGGACGTGAGGAGCTCTCGAGGTAGGAGAGAAACTGGAGAAAGGTATGAGTTCAGACCTTAAACAAGGTGGAACTTTAGACACAGTTTCAGGGAAAGGAGGGACATGGAAGAGGCAGATGATTGGACTGTCTCAATCTGAATGACAAAGAAGCTCCATGAGCTCCTCACAAGATGGAGGAGACAGAAACGGCAAACAATTCAAAAGCAAGTTCTAAAGACTTTAGGAAGCTTCAGCAGATTCTGTTTACCACAAACCTGATATAATTGTCTTTTTACCCCCATCATTAACACCTATAACCAGGCTGGAATTTATAAAAGATCAGCACAGAAAGACCCCAATGAACATAGCTATGTCCTGGATGGGAATAACAGCAAAGCCCAACTTTTGCAGTCAAAAATAGATCAAGTCAAAGAGCACTAACACCTCCCCCCGCCCCCGACCAAGTACACCAATGAAAAAAAGCAGGTGCTTTTGTTTCCCAATTGATCACAGCATGTGATGTGCTCCACCGCAGCTATTCCACACACATGCTCCGAAACCCACTCATTTTGCACATACGCAATGCCAGGATTTCCCCGCACACGTGCAGTCCCTGCCTCAGTGATCGTGGGAGTTGGAGTCCCCATGGAGCCACTGACACCCTATCATCGGGAAGTAGATGAAAAGTGCAGGACGGAACGTGGTGAGAACAGGATACCCATTCAAACACATAGGGCATGTGGGCCATCACTCGACTTAACTGACACACACGGTTAGGCAAACAGATTTCTGACATGAGGAATATATATTCAGCCAATTGTGAGGTGGGGAGATGAATAAGAGGTAGCAGATTTAAACCAGTGATAAGAAACATACCTGTCTCAATGTCAACACAGTGTGGAGCTGGAGGAACACAGCAGGTCAGGCAGCATCAGAGAAGTAGGACAGTTGACATTCGGGTTGGGACCCTTCTTCAGGAATGAGCGGAGCGGGGTTGGTAGGGAGCTGGGAAATAAATAGAGGGATGAGCGGTGCAGCTGAGGGAAAGTAGGTGGGATGGTGATAGGTGAATGCAGGTAGGGAGTGGTGAGGATTGGTCAGTGGAGAGGGTGGGAGGATAGGTGGGAGCGAAGATGGACTGGTTGTGTCAGGTGAAGGAGGTAAGAGGGAGGATGAGTGGGGCTAGGGAAAGGTAAGTGGGGTGGTGATAGGTAGATGCAGGTAGGGGGTTGTGAAGATTGGTCAGTGGGGAGGGTGGCGTGGATAGGAGGGGAAGAAGATGGACAGTTTATATCACGTCAAGGAGGTAGGGATGAGAGGGAGGTTTGGACGTGGGATGAGGCTGGGGGTGGGGAGGTTTTAAAACTGGTGAATTCTATGTTCACGCCATCGGGCTGTAGGCTCCCGAGGTGGAATATGAGGAGAAGGGTCCCGACCCGAAATGTCAACTTTCCTACTCCTCTGATGTTGCCTGACCTGCTGTGTTCCTCCACCTCCACACTGTGTTGACTCTGAATTCCGCATCTGCAGTTCTTGCTATCTCCATACTTGTCTTAAAGTGCTGTGAATCTGTGGAATTCACTACACCAACTTTTTGGATTCAGTGATTCTCTATGAAATATAGTGGATGCCAGCACACTGAGCAAATTTAATGAAGAGATACAGATCTTTAATTTGTAATGGGTTGAAGGGTGATAGAGAGCGGACAGTAAAATCCAGCTGAGGTTGATCTGAGCTCAGTCACCATCATATTAAATGGTAGAGCAGGCTCAAATGGCTGAATTGAATCCTCCTGCTCCCAATGCTTATGTTTTTATGTTAAGCGATTGTGAAGCTAAACCCGAAAGTCAGCACCTTCACTGAAAGTGATTTTGGGAAAAAGCAGGATAGTCGGATAGCTTAGGATTCCAAACTTAGATGATGAGAAAGTACGTGGAAGATAGTGATTTATACTTTTAGGCTGAGGTCTATATTCACAGTGTCCAGAATAATCTGTTCTGAACCTCTTTCTCGTATTTACAATGATGCCTTTTGTTAAATCCTATCCTTCTCTTGAACAGTTAATGGGGATTGAGAATGATTTTCTTTCACTCTAGTGTTGTGGGTTCTGGGGAAGTTCAATTAAATAGGTCAATATGGGTTCCACAATCCCTGACATTGGTGAGGCAGGTGGTATTTGCTGAGAGAGTGGCTGGGATGCACAGGTTTTTGTGTGCCCCTCCCTTTTTTAATACTTATTCTTGATCCGGGGTTGTTTTTTGATGACGTTGCCCAGTGGATGAAAAATGAGGCGCCACAGATAAAGGACATAGATAGATAGAAAAATGAGGACACCCGAGGAATTGGGTTCAGGGAAGCCGAAGTGGGTCAAATGGACAAGATAAGCATTGACCAGGCATGACAGAGATAGGGCAGAAATGGAGAATGATATGAATTGGGGTTAAAACAAGAACTTTAGAGGCAGTTTGGCCTGGTGATCTCAGGGAAGGGAGGGTGTGGCAAAGGTAAATGATCAGGGGGTCTGACTCTGAGTGACAAAGTCCATCAGCTCCTCACTTGTTAGCCTTGAGAATGGAGGAGATGGAGAATGCCCTTCAACTTGGAATAGGAATGGACCATTCAGCCCCTGAGCCTGCTCCACCTTTCCATTAAATCATGGCTGATCATTTATTTCCTACCATATTCCCATTTCCCATTATGTCATTCACCTCCAGGAACCTGTTGCTTTATGACTGAACATCCTCAATGATTGACCTTCCATGAAAGTCAGGGTCCAGAATTCCAAAAAGAATTCCATCGGAGTGAAAAGATCCTCCTCACCCTGGTCTTAAATGGCCTACCCCTTATTCTGAGACAATCTCCCCCTGGTTCTAGACTCGACACCCAAGGGAGAATTCCAATCAACACCTATACTGTAAGGATCTTTGAAGTTTCAATGAGTTCACTGTTTATTCTCCAAATTATATGATCCCAGTTGATGGTAATACTGCACAAGTCAAATCTCAGAGTGAAATCTGGCTTGATAGGTCATACGTTTTACTTTTGAAATTTAATTAGGATGATAATTAGTCACTGGACATATTCATAGGAGGCTGCCAATGTTCTTTCACTAAAATAGCACAAGTTCATTGCACTAAACAGAAAACAGGCCCTGTATGTATGTGACAATTTTGAAAGACCTTAACATAAACAGCTATTGAATCCATTTTCCCAGCAATATCCATTACAAATGCTCAATCTCAGTGAAGTATCGCTCCTATCATTTTTTATTCATTCATGTGATGTGGCTGTTGTTGGTTCTGCTAGCATTTATTACCCAACCATAATTGCCCAGGAGAAAGTGGTGGGGAGCTGTCTTCTTGAATGTTTGCTGTCCATGGGGTATTGGGGCACCCACAGTGCTATTACAAACAGAATTCCATATTCTTGACCCAGTGATGGTGAAAAAGGGTGATTTTGTTCCAAATCACAGTGCAGTACGCGTTGAGAGAAGTTACATTAAGTGTTATTCCCATTCATCCGCTGTCTCTCTCTTTGTCAGTGTTCAAGGTCATGAGAAGGTTGTTTTGGAGGAGCCTTGATGAATTACTGTAGTGCATCTTGGAGATGGCACGTACTTCTGCAACTATGCATCTGTGACGATGGAATGAATGTTGAAGCTGATGGTTGGGTGCCAATCCAGCAGGTTTTTGCATTTTTGCATTTCACATACCTAAGCAATTTTTACGGTCCACCTTTCTGTTTCCTATGAGCTTCTATAATCTTCACTTTTTCCCCCTTCATCAATTTTTGGGCCATCCTTTGTTGGGTTACAAATTATTCCCAAATCCCTGGTCTATTGGATTCTTTTGCAAACTTACAAACCACTTCCTTTGCTCCAATGTAAGCTATCAGTCCTTTTGTCAACCATAGCTGATTTAATGCATATTTCTGTCTTCAAGAAACACATAATTGTGCTAAATCATGCAATATTTATTCAAATACTTGCTACTACCTGCGTACTTTCAAATCATTTTGTGTATTTTGCCAATTCTTTTCAGCCAACTTGTCACTCCATAGTTTCCACTGTTCATATTGAGACTGTAATTCCAGAATGAACTACATCACTTTCAAACTTGATTAAAATTCTACATTACGGTAACTATTTAACAAAGGCTCCTTGACAGAAAGATTATTAATGATCCTTTTCTTTACAGAATACTCAATTTAAAACCTAAATCAGAAAAGCTTCAGTACAAACTGCATAAATTCACTTTCCACAACATTTGTGCTGATTCGGTTCACCCAGCATGTACGGGAATTGAAGTTATCTACTATTACTGTATTACAAATATTACGTGGACATCTAGTTTTCTACCTTATATTTAAAAGGAATTGTTTGGGATATTAAATAGATTCAGTAGTATGTGTCTTCAATGAAAAATCCAAATAATTATTTTACCTATATAATTATCACCTAAAGCTGGGCTGGATGTTTTAACATGTTTATAATCTGGATGTAATTAACAGCAAATTACAGCTCTGGAAATCACCCATGGACTTGCTGCAGTCTCAGCAGGTGAGCCATAAGGTGGGACTTCTGAGTGAATCCTTTCCCACATTCAGAGCAGATAAATGGCCTCTCTCCAATGTGAACTCACTGGTGACAGTCAGTTGAGATGATCATCTGTACCCAATCCAACAGTGAGTGCATCTGAACAGTCTCTCATCGTTGCGACCACTGTTCATTTAGTAACAGTTCCGCAGAGCTTTTAAAACACTTCCCTCAGTCTGGACATATAAAAGGCTTCTCATCGGAGTGAACACGTTGATGGCGTATCAAATCCCAGGATCTTGCATAGCACTTTCCACAGTCTGTACACTTAAAAGGTCTCTCCCCAGTGTGAACTCGCTGGTGTGTCAGGAGGTGGATTTTCTGAGTAAATCCCTTCCCACACATGGAGCAGGTGAACGGTCTTTCTCCGGTGTGAGTGCGCTGGTGTACAGTGAGACGAGATGACCATCTGAACCCTGTCCCACAGTGAGAGCACCTGAATGGTCTATCGTCGGTGTGAACACTTTGGTGTAACTTCAGCTCCCCAGAGCTTTTATAACTCCTCCCACAGTCTGGACATTTGAAAGGTCTCTCTTCAGTGTGAACTTGCTGGTGTGCCTTGAGCTGGGATGATGCATGAAATCCCTTTCCACACTCAGTGCATGTGAATGGCCTCTCTCCAGAATGAACTCGCTGATGCTTCAACAGGGTGGAGAACTGAATGAATACCTGCCCACATTCAGAGCAGATGAATGACCTCTCCCCAGTGTGAAGACGCTGGTGTAGAGTAAGTTGGGATGATCTCTTGAACCCATTTCCACAGTGAGAGCACCTGAACGGTCTCTCGTCAGTGTGAACACGGTGATGGACGATCAGCTCCCTGGAACCTTTAAAGCACTTCCCACACTCTGAACATTTGAAAGGTCTCTCGTCAGTGTGAACACGTTGATGGGACTGCAGATAGTGTGAACTTTTAAAGTATTTTCCACAGTCTGTACATTTAAAAGGTCTCTCCTCAGTATGAACCTGCTGGTGTGACTTGAGGTGGGATGACTGAGTGAATCCAATTCCACATTCAGAGCAGGTGAATGGCCTCTCCCCGGTGTGTATGCGCTGGTGAACAATCAGTTGAGATGACCACTTGAAGCCAGCCCCACAGTCAGAGCACCTGAATCGTCTCTCCTCAGTGTGAACACGCCGATGGGACATCAACTCACTGGAACTTTTATAGCATTTCCCACACTCTGGACATTTAAAAGGTCTCTCTTCAGTGTGAACACGCCGATGGGACATCAAATCACTGGAACTTTTATAGCACTTCTCACACTCTGGACATTTAAAAGGTCTCTCCTCACTGTGAACTCGCTTGTGTTTCAGCAGGGTGGATAACTGAGCGAATCCCCTCCCACAAAGGGAGCAGATGAATGGCCTCTCCCCAGTGTGAACACGTTGGTGAACTTCCAGCGCAGAGCGGCAACTGAATCCTTTCTCACAGTTCCCGCATTTCCATGGTATCTCTCCAGTGTGACTGCATTTGTGGTTCTTGAGGACAGTTGATTGGCTGAAGCCTTTTCTGCACACAGAACATGTGTACCTGTTCTCCCCACAGTGAATGGTGCTTTCTTCTTCTATGTTTAAAATCTGTTGATAGTCCGGTTGTGATAAATTGGGTGACTCCATCAGATCAAGGTGTGATGCTTGGTTTCAATATCCTGACTTCAAATCCTTGTCTTTGCATACCCTATTAATTGATTTAAACAGAAAAATGGAATGAGAGAAAAGCCACAAAGACATAAATTCAGGTTGTGACATTATACTGAGTGAACTGGGCAATATGTAGGGTTAGCATTTTGGACAAGACACCATGAAAGCTGCTGGATTGTCATAGAAACTGAACTGAGGCTATCAATCAGGTCTGCTCTGAGCCTGTTCAAGACAGTAGGACCTTTATGGAGCAGCGTGAGAGAGAAGAGTCTCAGCTCATCTGCTTCTGAGACTCTCATCAATTCCTTTATTAT